GGAAAGTCCTCCTTCTGGAACAGGGCCAATTCTTCCCTAAACATAAAAAAGGCCTTGCAGATGCTACTATCTGCCAGCCCTGTAATTAATAAATTATTAAAACAATCCTGAAACAAGTGGATGAAAGCGGGTCCACAATCTACAGAAAGGACAGTCATGAAAGGGGGGTTTTCCCAATTACAAAAAGGGGGGCAGACGTTATTTGCAGTACATTCATATGAGAGGCATTTTAAAGTCCTCAAAAAAACAAAACAAAACAAAGACTAGAAACACTTGGAGCCCTTTGATTATAAAGCTAACTTAATTCAATCTTTAAAAACACCTAGATTAGCGATTCACTCTACTGATCTTGGCCAATTAGGAGATAGAGGTTATTCTAATTTAGGGATTTGATAAAAATGGATTAGTACGAATCGAAGTTCTCTGCACTGTTTCTAAAAAGGTTTAAACACAAATAAAATGCTCCCAGTGTTCCCATCTGACTTAAGACATGGGTACAACTTAGAAACTGGATGGCTTTTTTGATGTGCTGTTTTCAGTTGGACTCCCAGCTATTTCTCAAGCTAGGAGCGATGCCTCAGCTGTGTCTACTAACTGAAAAGTCTCCGGGTTTAACTAACACCTGCATCTTTCAGCTATCTGCATTAAATCACTGAAGAAGCCACACAAAAGCCTAACCCGTGATCTCTAATTATACCCATCTACCAGAGGCCACCTTCCAACAACTGCCTGCTTTTCCCATGTTTTTTCCAACCTGCTTTGATATCGTTATAGAGTCTTTACTTCAAAACCAATATAATCCCCAGTTTCCACTACTTCTTCCCAACTCTAGCGGGAGTGAATAATGCAGGCCTTTGAGTCTTTTCCTCCAGGGCCGAAGGGCACAGGAACCCATCCCCTTTTAAGCGCACAGTTCATCTTACAGAAAGGCTTGTTTTCACAGAGTAGAGTCCAGACAGTAGCCAATTAAAGCATACAGAAAACACTTTGAAACCCTCCTCCTGCTTGAGCGCGCAGGCTCCTTTCCCTCTAACTGCTATCCATTGTAGGAAGAAGAGGCTGATTGCTGCAACTTTGAATCACACTGAAAGTTCCAGGCTGGTGTTCTAATTTAGGTTTGTAAGCTTCTCAGAACAAGGATCTCCCAGGTCCACCACTAAGAATTCAGAGACAAACTTCTAAAAATCCAGTGCTCCTTTGAAAGGATCTCTTTAAAACCACCTTGCCGCGAAAGACCCGTTCAGAAAGCAGGCGGCATGATGACACTAGAATTTCAGAGCCAGCTTTGGACAACAAAACCTGCATCTCAGAGTTTGGCAGCGCCATGTTCTGCGGGCTTTCTGCTCGGCTCGCTGTCGCTTTGGGACAGGATCTTTCCTTTCAAATCCTCTGCTTCTAAAGCGCAGGCAGCTGCTGTGAGGATATGGAACCTCTTTAAGGGAAAAGACAACGGAAGAACTCTGAGATGAGGGTTTTCCTCTCCCCTCTGCTCTGAAAAGCAAAGCCCTGCTCGCAAAGAGAAGTATGGAATGAAGTGAAACCTGCTTAAGGCCCTTCTCTCGAGCTTGGTTGACTGGGGGAGCAGGGACTCAGCTGACCACTCATTTTTCCAGGGCGAGTTGCCTTCCCAGTGAGGCGCCAGCCAGTCCTTCGGTGCTCTCTCTCCTCTCCGGTCAGTCTCCTTGTCTCAGTGAGCTAGCAGTGGGCTCTCTCGCGCGCGCTCCTTTCTCTCCTCTCCGTTGGTTGGTTTCTCTCTCTCCTGTTGCTCTCACACAGTGGTGCTTCAGTTTTAGCAGTGGAAAACAGGTATCCATTTTATTTTATTTTTTTTATTACCCAGAATAAAATGCTGATGAACTAAGCTCCACACAAGCTTAGCTCTTCTTCCTCAACCTAAGGGCAGAAAGAGACAGCGGCGACGTTACTGACTGGTCTCCTGCTGGCGCACCAAATACAGTTAAGTCACAGGAGTAAGGAAACAACCGACACCCTCCACGCCTTACACTCTAATACTGTGACAGTCCCGTCACTCCACCGTGTTGATATGCACGTTCACCCTGGTAGGTAGAATCCTGTGACAGCGCCACATCAATCTGAGATTTAAACTCGTCACCAAGGTAACTGTCCTGAAACGAGAGACATTCTGTCATTACCACAAGAGTTGGAGACTTAAATTCCCAAGCATGTTGTGTATTTAATGGCAGCTTGGAGCCCTTGGCTTCTAATTAGCTCTGCTGCAAATCCAGTTGACCCTTTGACACAGCAGCAAGTCTTACTGTAATGCCCAATATTTGTTCTGTGAAGGCACCAAACCTCTCACCTTGCAGCAAGGAGCCAGTTTAAGGTTAGGGCCTAGGTGGAAATGAGAGTACCACATAAAAATGAGTGGCACCATCGATATATGGGAGATGCAGGCAACACCAGACTACAAGGGTGCACCTCAAGAGGCCACTGACATTTTTCAGGCTTTGGATCTGTGGAAATGGAAGTGAAAACCACCCCAGGACTACAAAAATACGAGGATCCATACACACGCGCCCTGCCTCCATGTGCATACAGAGCCCAGCAATCTGTTGGTAAGAACGTCTTACTCCTACCTGTGATAATTCTGGTTGGGAGAGTCCTGGCTGGCTCATCTGCGATGGCTGACTCATGGAGATATAGCCCTGAGTCAGTGGACCCTGGGAGAAAGGCTGGGACACCACGTCTTGGCTCGCTTGACTGTTAGGAAGGTTCGACTGGCTGGTTCCAGGAATCCCAAAACGATTTTTCTGGCGCCCGCCACGGCCAGTCTTCCCTTTCGGTGTGCCACGCCCTGAAAGAGGCAACCACGCACCAAGTGGGAACTGTTACTTCAAACGTTTTGCAAAACATTTACTGGCCATTTAAAATACGATGCATGATGTATATTCAGGCAACAACTTCTCTATGCATCCAAGCCTTTAGAAGCAGCCTAGAGCAGACTGCTAGATCCTGGCAGGTGACAACTTCTCCTTAGAGCGGGATAGTGACCCTACGTTGCATGCACCCAGCCTTACAGCTGAGAAAAGGAAATGCAGCTTCCTGACCCCAGCAACAATTCTGGCCCACCTGGCAGCAGTCAGTGAAAAGCATTCCTTCTCCCGGGCCCCTGAGGTGCCCTTGTATAGGTTCCGCCCTTTTCTTCCAGGAGAGGCAGTTACCAGTAACAATACGCCACCTTCACTTGTTGGACTGAAGCTAGCTAGCATTTACGTACCTGCTGCCGGGCCATTGGCCTGCCCGAAGTATCCTGGTGGCGGCATTGGTGGCATGACAAGATTGAAAGGGATAGGAATGTTCATTGCAGGGACGTGGCTGGGCCCAGCACTAATCATCCCAATCTGGTCGTGAGTCTGGAAGTACATGTTGGATGGGCGCCCTAGGGAAGGCAACAGTGCAGGGGAGCTTTGAGATCACACCGGTTCTACACACCTCTGCTCCCTGCCTACATGGGAATGTCTGGGTATCTACTGGGGGTGACTGAAAATGTGAAATGGGGATGTGACTACAGCTCCATTGCAAGGGCCTACCAATTAGACATTACAAGTATATTGGGTCCATTGGCCACCAGCACCAGGATCTAGACCATGAGTGAAGTATCACAAAGAGGCAGATTTCAGCCCTCTCAGCACAGTCCTGCAGAAGAGGGCCCACCACCATCAGGCATTTCTATAGTCCTGGGCTTCTGCCCCCACAGAAAGCCTCATCCCTTTTCCGCACCTCACAGGGGATGCAACATTAACATCTTAATGAAATAAAACCAACTTTTATCCAGACCACCATGGCTGCAACCTGAATATAGTCAGGAATTCTGTGGAAATGCTACATTTCTGCATCTTGGGGTATTTTTTTATTGGGAGAAGAGGCTGCTGAGGCTCACGAGGCACTGCAAGAGAAATCTTGGCTCTACATCAAAATGCAAAGATCCCTTCTAATGGCAACAGAAAGGGAACAGCGAATGAAGGAGTTGTCCTCCCAGAGCTTCCTCTACCTTGACTGCTCCTGTCATAGACAGATCCTGGGATAATAGCTTCACGTGCGTCATACATGGCAGTTGTCATGAAACGGGCACCCTGGAAGTGTTACAGGAAGATAAATGAATGTTACCAACTGAACCACCGTGACCTTGGAGCTTTGAGGGAATCTGTGCCCCACTAGAAAGTGGTGCACATCTGTCATTTAAGCCAACTTAAGCTAAGTACACTTAGCTGCAAGAACTGTCTAAAGAAAGTTTGAAATTTAAGCCCAGCTTAAGTTTGATTGAACAGAATCAGTTTCCACTCTCTCTCTTGCTCTGTTCTTACCATTGGGTTCTGCTGATGAGTGACAAGAGTTTATTTTACTGCTACTTTTGCTTTTTTACTTAGGGACAATGAGACGAAGCCCATTTAAACTGAAAAGGAAGAGTCAGACACTGGGCTGAGGTGTGTCAGAAACCTGACATTTCTACACAAGTGGACTGGTGCTTCCACTCTGCTCGTTTTGGAGGCCACTGCCAAGATTTAAAAACCCACAACAGGAAAGAGCTTAAGTACAGGAAACTGCTCAGCCAGCAGGGCTGAGCCTAGAGGGGAACCAGATGTGACAGCCCTCTGGGTCGCATGCAAGCAGCTACAAACACAAGAGTCCAGACTCGCTAGGGCCCAGCAATGAGAACCCTCTGGACGCCACAGCAGCTGCCACCTGCCCCTCTGCCCACAACAGGCTCTCCTTTCAGGGAAGCAGGAGCAGGACTTCAAGATGCAATGGAGCCAGCCCTGCAGCCTCCAGAAACAGCCAGCAAGGGGCAGCAATGCATTCCTACCCCCGCAGTAAGTTAGTCACACCTGCCATTCATGCCCTTTCCTACAGGATCCAAAGCCTTCCTGGCTACAAAACAGGTGTCACAGCAACACTGCGACCATTTCAGTTAGATTTCCCCTCTCTCATCCAGGTTAAGACAGACCCGTCTGCCAGCCAGGACTTACGGGGTTGATGGTATTGACGAGTTTACGAGGCTTGCTGAACTGCATGAGGCTTTCCCGGAGGTTGTTCAGTGGTCCCTCTACTAGCACCTTCTGCTCTTTGTAGTAGTTCAGCAGGTGGTTCCAAAGAGGCTGCTTAGACAGAGCCTTTGGGTTCCCAACAATAATGACTCCATATCTGTACAGCCAATAGCCAAATCAGATACACTTGACAGTCAACTCTTCCCCTCCCACCCCCCAGTAAAATGGTTTGACAAAGCAGAATTAGATGCACGTTCACAGGGCAAACTCTTCCCCTCCAGGGCTGCAATGCCCCCTCCCATCAGAGTATGCATGCACTGCAAGGCAAGCACAGATCCTAGAGCACCTCTCAACTACCAGTGCTCTGGGCTTCCTGTAAAGCAGTGGAGTTCCCAGAATCCCAACTGGTTTCATGCACACTCCTCGCCGCAGCTCCCCAGGGCTGCCAGCACCAGCAGCTGTCAAGGGCAGACAGGAGAGGAGCTGCATGTGGGACTGCAGCAGGTTCAAACATGTGGTCTTAGCTGAGCTGCTGACATCTATGCCTGCAGTTAAATGCTGACAGCCTTAAATTTGACCTCTATGCCTCCAATGCAATTTCTGAATTATGCAGTACTGGCTTATTTCTCCATTTAGAAGAGTCAAAAAAAGTGGAATCAGCCTCAGCGTTAACTGGCACACACATGCCTGCTTGGGTTCCCTGCTCTTGCTCTTACAGTGACACCTGTGAGCACCACACGATGGAAGCAGCGGCAGAGGAGCCCGAAACATTTCCTGAATCTTTTCCACATTCCATTTGGTTTATTCTGGTGTTCCCAGCACCTTTATCTGTGGGGCAACAGCTTGCTCACATTGGAAGGGCCTGCCACATGCCCCTGGAGTACTACCATACCTTGCTCTGGTAAGAGCCACATTAAGACGTCTGGGATCATTTAAAAATCCAATTCCTTGGTGCTCATTGGCTCTTACGCAAGAAAGGATAATAAAATCTTTCTCCCGTCCCTGGAAAGCATCAACACTTGCGATTTCCACTTCCTGAAAGGAAGAAACACCACGTAAGCCATGTCCCATCGGAAGCCCAGTGCAAGGAAGGGAACTATGCTATGACTGGCGGTGCAATGCACTTGGCTGCACATGGCATGCATGTGAAAGGCAGACAGAAATATCTGGAATTCCACCCTGTCAGAAGCTTTGTACCTGGTAGAGCTTTGTATGCAAGGACCCGCTGAACTGCATGTACTGCACCAGGTAAGATCGCTGACCCTCGTAGGGGGTAATGATGCCAATCTGATCTGGTTTGGCACCAGCTTTCAACAGCTTTGTAGTTATCTTCTCCACATTAGCAGCTTCCGTCCTAGGAGGAGAGATTGGTTTATTTACCAGTTTTTTAAGTTACTTAGTAAGACTTGCTGCTTTGCTGCATTGCAGCAGTGCTGTAGGCACCGTTCCAACAACACAATGGACAGGAAGCATTTGGAGAAACTGAGCCTGCATCATTTCCCACAGTATTAAGTACATATAGATGAGCCAGGACAAGCAATCCCAGCAGCTGCACAAAGACTAAAGTACACTTGCTGGAGGAGCAACTGAGGGCATGGGAGACTATGTACCCCCCCCCCCCCAACACACGCACACACTAAGCAGCATTTAACTCCTTACAATGTGATCTATGCTCCGAGGTGCCACCTCCAATAACTCCAAGAAGGAGCATTAGCACTTCAGGAAGAAGTGTAAAATGGGGCCCAATGCTTCCACGCAGCAGCACACGTGAGCAGGCTTCTGCTGTAATGCATTTATACTCTGCTATCACAGCTCTGTGCAGGATCTCAGCCTGCTTTCAAAATGAGTATGTGTACCCATACCCTAAGTGTGAATACACAATGGTCATCTGGAAGTGTTACTTAGGCATGTTTGGAATGTAACACTGACACTGAAGTTTCTTTACCTGTTCAAGTAAGAGGTGCCTGAACTGGCAATTTCTTCCTGCCCCTGGGTCACATAGAAGAACATCGGCTTATCTGGCTGGGGCCACTGGAAATCAAATCCCTTTTTCACACGGTCCGCTGAGGAGTGAGAAGAGAACAAAGCAAGACATTCACATTGCTCCTTTCAGATTAAAGGCATCTTAAAGGCACTCCACTACTATTGCTGTTCTCCATTACAGAGAAGGCAGTTTGTACTGTGCCAGTCCTAATTTACCTGCAGTGACGCCGTTCTGGAGAGAGCCCTCATAGAAGATGTTGGATGGAAATGCACTAAGTGCAGGATGCATCCGATACTGCACTTGCAGGCGGATTGGACGGATCCCCAACACCACAAGCCTCTCAAAGAGAGACTGAGACAGGCCTGCCTTTGCAGCTTTCTTACACATCACAACAGGACCCAGCTGGCAGTGGTCACCGACGAGGATCAGCTGTGGAGAAGGAGCGCACACAGTCTGCATATGCTTCTGAAGCTTTTGGGCAGATCAAGCTGCTTGAAAACTGGGCCAGATAGTGACTTCAATTCAGACTGCATATTACTCTAAAATCATCAGTTGAATTAGCTTGAGGATTTTCTCAAATGCTTTATGTCTACTAACAGACTGGAGCCCTAACCTAACATGTAGCTCCCTGAAGTAACTGATTGTTGACCTTCCAGTTAGACAACTGAATGAATCAGTTATACTGGGAGCCAAGATCGCCCCTTGGAAATAGGATGATTTTGATTCACAGAATGCAAGAAATTCAGATCAGCAGTAAGGAACTGCCCTCCTCTCTGTGCAGAAAGTGACCAATCAGCTTACAAGTTCCGTGATGTATTTGTAAAGTGACCCCAACCTACCTGCTTTGCTCCAAGAACCACTGGCACCATACACTCCGGTTCAGTAGCCTGCGTGCTTTCATCAATTAAAATGGAGCGGAACTGCATTTTCGCAAGTCTCGGGTCACCTGCTCCCACACACGTGCAGCAGATAACATCTGCATTCTGGAGACAAAAAGCCCATGCACAAGTACTACAGCAGCAGCATTTGTAAGAATTTAGGGAATAATTAAATACGTTGCTCAACATAACTAAGATGTGCATCAGCTGATTATTTTTTCATAGGGACACTAGAGAGGTAACTTTCAACCCAAACAATTCCCAAGAGGTTTAACAAACTACACGTCTCTCCTCATGAAACGCAGCCAAGCTGGAGAGGCAGCTACATTCCCCAAGAATCATTAAAAAGTTATAATTCCCATATTACTAATGCAAGTAAACAAACATGAACTAGCAAGAGCTAGCCTGCAAAATACAGAGTTCTCCCGAAAAGCAAAGCAAAGGAGGCTATATATACCATAAGTAATTCACGCTCTGCTGTTCGCTTCAGTGCACGATAACGCTTCTCATCAGCAGATGACAATTCTCCAGTTTCATCTTTCAGCTGCTGCAGTTTCTGAAGCTCAGGCATACTGCAGAGCAAAAGAATTAACCCTCAAGGTGAAATCATGGTACAATTCAAGTATAGCACTTCAGTTATTCAATGCCCTGGAACAGCCTGCCAGTTTGCAGTGATGTGTGTTGAACACAGTCCACAGAGATAAAAAAAAATTGGGTCAAGTGTATCTGGTCAACACTTGAGGCTTCTTGCACGATTTTCTTACCTGTCCATGTTTCTAATCTGGTTGTGCAATGCCAAGAAAGATACAGGAGAATCGATTGCCTCACGACTTTTAGCACACAGGCGAACCACTTTCAGTCCCGTCTGATGAATCTTCTCGGTCAGCTGATCCACAGCTATGTTACTTGGGGCACAAACTAACACAGGCCTTTAAAAATTAGATGGAAGGAGAATGGTAAGACTGGCACTTAACCTGTTTGTTCCACATTGAACATTTCTACCACAGATGGGTCAACCTCAACAAAAGTATTTTGATCATAACAGCTTAATGAGATTTTCCAGCTATCAAAGAACCTTCACTTATATGAAAGGATTCAGGCTTTTCAATTAAGAGTTCTTACCCATTGCCCTGCCTAGCTAGATGGTAGACAATTGTTGCTGATGTCACTGTTTTTCCTGTGCCAGGGGGACCTTGAATAAGGCTCAGAGGACGCTGCAAGACGGTCTTCACAGCATAAACCTAAAAGAAATGCTTCCATTAAACATGTAACCTAACCTGCTTGCAGTTTAAGTATTACAAATTTTTTCTATTCAGATCTGACCTGCAGTCTGTGCACACGCCCCTTTTATTGAATTCTGTCTACTGCTAAGAGATAGAATTACCTGAGAATGGTTGAGGTCAGGCAGTCCTTGCGCTGTAAAACGCTTTGGCAGCTGGCATTTAATAATCACATCTTCTACCTCATGACCTAACAGCTTGTGGTAGATGTAGCCAGACACAGAAGTTTCATCCACTGCAAATGTTTTTAAAGCACTTTGCATTCTGAAAGCAAGAACACCAGACCACAAAATATGAACCAAAAATATTACAATCATGCAATATAAAGGTTAAACCAGATATCAGGCACAAACTCAAAATGTTAACTTATACATCTGAAGTTTGGGAAGGAAACACACTTTCAACACCTGGAAACTTCTTTTTAAACAAGTTCTGGACAAGACAGAAGTGGGAGAGTCTTGGGCATTTCCAATACAGCAGCTTGCTCAACAAACACCAACATCAGTTTTTAGGAGGAGGTGGAAAAATGGTCTTTTAGTTCATCTAAATCCTTTGTTCCACATCTTATACTTAAAATACCTGCATTCAGAAGGGAGGTGCACAAGTACATAGTTAAATGGTGTTTTCTGATGCAAATAAAAGACTCTTGACTAAAAAAACCCACCAAATCCAGATATTGAGCTGCAGGTCCCAAATCTGGCAATATCTCCTAGCATTTTGCAAAACAGGTGCTAAATTTACTCTTTTATTCTACAAGAGGAAAAGACAATTGAACTGAATGAAAGAAGTTGCATCAAACATCTCGACTGCCTTCTTCACACCAGTAAGGTGGCATACCTGTCAAATGAAGTAGACTTCCAAACAAAATCCACCTGGAAGTTATGAGTAACCTCCACAGGTGCTCCAACACTGCTTCTCAGCTCAATGGCTATCTCATCACCATAATCTGTAGAGCCTCGTTAAGTAGTAATCTATAGCTCACTTTTGGAGTTTGATTCTTCCAGTTTTCCACTCATTTAGCAGATCCTTGCCTGACAGTGAGTAGAGTGATTTCAAATACACTTCTTTTTCTTTTACCCATTTCCAATAGTTGACACTCCTTTAGCTATTTATATGACCTCATCTTCACAGCACTGGGGTAGCTCACAATCCTTAATGTATGTGTCCTCACAGTGGCCCAGCAGAGTACCATTTTCCCTTATTTAACTGAGATGGAGTTTGGAGAGAGTCTTGCCCAAAGTCGCAGATAAATTTATGTGCGCCAATGACTGGGATGGTAAGCAGGGTTGGCCAAGAAGCAGCAGCAATGCCATTTTTTCCTCTGAAGTGCCTCAATCCCCCCCACCTCCCCAAAAAACAAAACCACACTGACTAATTCACTCAATTACAGTCTAGCCAAAAGCAAATGATCTGCATCTCCATTCTCAAAGGCTTTTTAAGTAAAGGATACTATCCGGCACTTTGATAACATGACCAATTCCTTTCCACAGAGGAGCCAGGTCTCCTTTATACCTCAGGCAGATCTCATCTCCTTGCATAAGACGCATATCTAAGATGACAATTAAAAGCAGTTACACTTCCAAAATCTGTACAGGTGAGCCCACCCTCCAACAGAAAAAAAAATTTTGGCACTCTTCTGTGCCAAATCACAGTATCATAGTTGTCCAATATCTGAATGCTACTTCCTGGACACCAAAAGGCAGAAATAGGCAACAAAGTCACTATTACCTGAGTCAGTCTTTGGCAAAGTGAAGTAAGCAATTCTCTTCTTGTTTAAGCCTAGGTCCCATCTCACTGTGATGTTATCCTGGGTCTAATTGTAAAGAAAAGACATATTTTACTTTCTTAACCTGTTTGCTAAATATCATATCTATTTCTTGATTATCATCCATTCACTCTAATGCTGGAAAATAACAACCAGAAAGGCTCAAAATGTTATAGAACAGGCAAATATTTATGCTCAAAGTAAAAGTCAGTTTTCCCTCATTCATGTATTGAACTATTTCTACAGAACGAGGTTCTTTTTTTTCCCTGTCTCCAATTTTTTATTTTCTTTGCAAATGCTGCTTTGGACACCAACATTTTAGGCATTCTATGTAAGCATACGATGATCTCACAGGCCAGGTGATCACCCCCAACTAACATCTGCATTTCCACTGAAAGCTTATATTCTTATTCAAATTGTTGGACAGGCAAGGGAGATTCCATGGGGGAGAGGAACAGCCAGTGACCCTGGTCAGTTCTCTCAGAGATGGGACATCCTTCACAGAACCACAATCGAGGAAAAGGCTGAATTCAGGACAGTTTCAAACCCCAGCACTGGGATTTTAGCTTTGTCAATGTGTGTAAGCGTAGCTAACCAAGCATCTTTCAGCATTACCTGGGATTCCTTGAGTTTCTTGTCATAGTCTGCCTCAAGCTTAACTAAAGGTCCAAAGATATTTTGGTACTGATAAGCATCCTCATATCGAAGTAAGACATGCTGCGGTTCTTCATCAACACCAGGTTTTTCCAAGTCTTCAAGGGTTGCAGATGGGTTTTCCTAGAATCAGAAAACAAATGTCATGCTCTGAGCCACAAGGACCAAGCTGTGAAACTGCCGACCTTCCACAGTACGACAGGGGAGGACGAACAGCAGAATTTCTATTGTGTTTCACAACCCATGTGTATGCAGGGGCACATACCTTCCAGAGTTCCTCCAGTTTGTTAATTTGCTGAGCTGTAATCTGACGGGCTCGCAGCTGCTCTTGTTCAGAGGGAATCTTTACCAGCCAGGAAAGGAAGCAGCGGTCTTGGATAAGAGGCTGCCACTGTGAACTGTCCCAATTAATATCCTTTAAACTGCTCTGACTGGCACATGGTTGCCTGCACAACCAAGATATTGAAAAAGAATTTATTAAATTAGACAAGTGTAAGCACAAGTTTATCCTCATGAAGTTTTTTTCCCTTTCATAACACAGGAAAAATAAGCTGGGCCATAAATCTACAAAGATCAGCTGTTGTATTTGCTGCTTTGACCATGGAAATGGCTTCTCTAGAATCACCCAACAAATGATATTTCCTGACTGAATATTTTCACAGCTAGGGTATCAAACTTCTCAATAGGCATCTGCTTCTTGGTCACTGCTCATTAGGACCATATACCATATGCAGTATGTCAAAGGAGAGCCTGAGGGCTAGTTCTGATGCTCAGTTACACAATGCAAGAAGCCTGCCATAGAAATAGATCTACTGTCATGTCACTGAGAGAGGCCATGGAGTAGAGTCTCGTGTGTGTGTATAGGCAATCCTTAAGCCAAAGAATCCCCCTGTCCTCACTTCAAGCCCATACCTCCAAGGAACAATATCCAAAATACCAAGGACACCCTAAAACATGCCATAGGTTAAAGCAGTGGGGACAGAGGCACTGTCAATGCCTGGTCACCATCAATGGCTAGACTACAGCACAATAAAACACGTATAGTTGAAGCCACAATCCACAACTAAATTTAGTTTCAGTCTTAATTTGGTTTGTTACTTCGGTAAACGTGCAGTAAACCAATAATGAGTTTGATGGAGAGAAAGCCCTCCCATTCCTTCCACAATAAGAGACGTCCTTATTGAAGTGTGTGATTTTATGTAATACGCAAAGCCAGTACATGTGCTGGAATACAAGCAATATTTTTGTATTGGATGACAATGAGAATAGCACTGTCTTTTAAAAATATGAGGCTATCTGTACAGGAACTCCCAAAAAAGGGATTCTCTTACCTGCACAGCAAGACTACTACTGAGTCAGCCTTTGCAGGAATGAAGCCAAGGAGGAACACGTTTCGGCATCCACAATTGTAACACTCCAAGACAGTCTCTCCAAGAGGCCCATCTTTGTGGAGAGTTACCTCTTTGCATTTGGCTCTCACCAGGTGGTTTACGATGTGGCTGAAACAACCAGAACATATGCAAGTTTGTACACAGCATAACCACTGACAGGCCCCTAGTCTGATTTAGTCCTAATTTAAGGCCAGCGAAGAGCTCAGCAAGTATTACAAAAAGCACAAAAACCCTCTGCATTTACCATGAACACACCTGTTTCTTTTTAGCAAAAGACCGGTGGTGCTTCTACAGTCTTTCACTGCTTGAATGATATGGGACATTTGTCAAAGGATTTCAAAAAAAGGTTACTTGGATCAATTGCAGGGCCAGACCAGCAGTTATTAATGCTGCTGAGCAATAGCCGCAGATACAAAGCAGCAGTGGCAGCATATTCACCTAATAAACAGGGGATGAGAGAATGAAAGGACTGGAAGCCTCATTCAGAAAAAGATTACTGCCTTTCACAAGGACAGGTCCCCTCAGTACGCGCTAGCAGCGATGGGCAGGCTGGTAAAGAGGGAGCCTGGAAGCTTACATGATGATACCTGTACCTCACTTGTCAGCAAACACCACAAGTTAGTTTGTTAGCACTGTAGCTAAAAAGCTGATGCTTACAAGACAACTTTCCTTTCCAGTCAACTGTCACAGAGGGAAGTACCATGTGCTACACTGGAAATTGAATGTGTTCCACCTGCAACCACAGAACGATCGTCCCTTCTGTCCCTCGATCCTTACCTGCCGGACGTATTGCCACGCCCGTTGCAGAACCACTTTTTGCTGGTGTTGCAGTAAACCACACAGGCTGGGTCATGAATGCCACAGTAACTAGAACAAAAAGGGAAAAAACTAGATCATGTAACTTTATATTTGCAGGGACGTAAGCATTAAAAACTATTCACTGAAACACAGACAAAAGATGAAACTAGCAATCAGAAGCACAAGAGCAACACCACAAGCTTGGGTTAAAATATTATTCCACGTTCCTGTCATTTTGATCAACTCTGTATCAATCAGCTCGGTCTCACTCACGTCCATCCGCATTGCACGATGGCAGATTTCATTCTGAAGTCAAACGCAACCTGATTGTAAGTGACAGCATTTCAGCAGGGGGCCCGATTCTGAAAAGTGAGCTGGCTGATGCATTACATATTTAAGGCTCACCAGAGGGCACTATCTTCCCAGCGATGCAACATTAAGGTACACAGACACTGCAGCAAAGGAAAGCTGCTCGTATTCAGGCTAAACTACACGTGCTGTCTGTGCGCTGATTGAGCGTTTGTGTATTTACTAAACAGAACTCAAGACATCAGTTGAACACGTCTACAGCACTGCCTCCAAGGCTTTCAGAATGCCACACTAACATGCGTCTCCAGCGCCCCTGAAAGCTGGCTAAATATCACTCTTACTGAGATGCTCATTTCTTTTGGCCCGCAGTTAAGTTTGGGCAAACCAAGACAAGAAGAACCATAAGTTGCAGCGTATCTGCATGAAGACAACTCAGATTAGTGACACTGCCTGCCCCAGAGACATGCCATTTTCATTTTGAATGCTGAAGCCCAAGCAGCTCCCCTTCACAGCCTACCTGCAAGCATGCACAGGCAGATCCTTGGTATAGTAGGTGTCCTCTTCATCTTCTTCAAAGTTCAACTCCGCCAGAAGTTGGCTGGTTTTAGCCACATTATCATCCACAGCACCATTCTGTAGGATGCCATCAGGTCCATTAACCTAAAACGGAAAGTGGGTAGTTAAACTTAAAAATCAAACTGTATCCCATGCCAGAAAGCTGGGAGGCCAGTACCTTCCATTCCTTCACAAAGCCTTGTGATAATTTGAAGAAAGGAAGGAGGGAGATAAAAATGTCAAGTACGGATAATAGGAGCATATATTGGTAACTAAATGAACACTTCTGTCCTTTCCCCTTTGCTTATTCACAAAAGGGTCATCACAATCACAGCATATGAAATGCAAATGAGTAAATGAACCAAAACCTGAAAAAATGAGAGGTGCAGAAAAATACACTGAAGCAACTCTTTCTAAGCAAAAAAATTGTTCGGTCTGCCGCAACTATGTCTAATTCTCCAACCCAAAATGCACACTGCACATATAGTGCAGAACTAACTTTAACTTCCTGCACCACAGAACTGTATTCCATATTAGATCAGAATGAAAATTAATGAACTTCAAATATTTTTAAGCATGTTCTAGCTATTCCACAAGTCTTTCAATTGAAAAAAACCCCACCTAATAAGTGCCATTATCACTATGAAATATTCAAGAAAACAAGTACCACAAGATATAATGTTAACAGATATTTCATCAGCCAAGTTTCTGAATAACAATGTGTCAAAGATGCAGAGCAATAAAGCCTATCTATACACACCAAGCATGCAATGGAAATATCCTGGCACTAATGGAGCACTACCCACCCAAGTAGGAAACCTTGCAACACTTGCTGCTGATGTGTCAGCAGAGCTTGGAGTACAAGCCTTATTCATGGTACAAATATATTTGGCTTTTATGTTCTCCAACTACTGGGGATCAGCACAAGGCAAGAATGCCCCACAAGATAATGGCAAGCTTTCAGACACATCTAGCATATAATGAATTTCCAGTCTTCTACCATATCTGGAATGATTTGGGTTTACTTGTTTTGAATCCCAGGAATGAATGTCGTTAAGAAAATAATCTGAGACAACTCAGATTGAAGTGAGACTAGTACAAAAGACAGTGCCACGTGGAACTGGTGGCTTCAGCTTTAATCTGTTATGAACAACAGCATTTGAAAAGCAAGGAAACAATTAGGAATAATACTGAGAGGCATACTGCTTAATCCTAAATTCACCATCACGGAAGTAAACATGATAACCTGACCGCATTGATTACCATAGGCTTAAAGTACCGTTCTGAATCAGTACTACATGCTGGTTACCCTTGGGGTGGGGGAATAAAATATCAGTAACTTTAAAATTAAATTGCTTTACTTCCCCCAAACAATGAAATACTGCTTTCCATCATCTCCCACCAACCCAATGGCAAGAAAGCAAAGCCTTGCATTAAAGGAGACCAGGGCCCTTTAACTTATTTCAGGTTTTATTCAGACTTGTAGCCCCCATCACTGAACTCAAGGATTTTCTGAAGAAATATATCAGTAGTTAATATCAGAACCAAGACCAAGTAGTAAGAAGGCGCACTCCTTCCAGGTTCCATATTAAGAGATGATTGTTATTTGGACACTAGATATCTTG